ATGACCTTAATGGAATGGATCTTTGTTGTTGTAATGAAGTTAAGGATCTTGGTAATTCCAGGTATCTGTGTAAGAACAGAATGCACATTGTTGCTATAAACATTGGGGTACTGGGTGTGGTATAAAAACAATGAATACTGTTAGGCTGAAAAGAAATTAAAAAAAAAAAAAAAGAACAGAATGCACAGACAGAAGAGGAGACACAGAGGGGAAGTCCATGGAAGACAAAGAGAAAAAGGTAATGTAAAGGCAGAGTCTGAGATTATAGGGGTGCATCTACAAGCCAAAGAATGCAAAAGATTGCTGGCCATTCCCAGAAGCAAAGAGGCATTCCAGGCACACAGATGCCCTCCAAAAGACTTGAAGTGAATACACTAATTTATTAATTTGTTCAATAGGCCCTCATTTATTTAACTGTAAAGTCAGAGTATTAAATTTGTGACAATTTCTATCTTAAAAGTTCTAGGATTCTGGGAACACGGCTTCTCCAGGCAGAATAAAATAGTTAAACAGAAATACACAGAAATTTAAGAGAATGGAAAATAAAGGGCTCCTGGGTGGAACAGTCAGTTAGGTGTCCGGCTCTAGGTTTTTTTGGCTTGGGTCATGATCTCAGTGTCTTGGGATCGAGCCCCAAGTCAGGCCCCATGCTTAGCGTGGGATCTACTTGAGACTCTCTCTCTCCCTCTCCTTCTAGTCCTCCCCCCTGTGCTCTCTCTCTCTCTCTAAAATAAATAAATAGATCTTTAAAAAAGATAATGGGAAATGATTAGAGAGAAATGCTTTGAGGACATGCTTGCTTTTGATCTATACCCTTCCTTTCTAGGGAGTAAAGCAATAAACCTCATTAACTCTACTCTAAATCAAATCTGCACTTGAGATGAAATACCCACAACACCTTTAGTCACTATCCAAGGGCCCACTGCCATGTGTTTAAGGAAGAGATGAAGATTCAACTGTTCAACCTTCCCCACGATCACTTTGTTTTCTTTCTGTCTCTCTGTCTTGGCTTCACTACTTCTGAATGCTTATGTGTGTGATGGGTGGAGATGGAAAGGGAACATTGCTCTGCTAACCGGGAATCTGGGTTAGTTCCTGGTTTCATGGGGCACAAATGGGAATGTGTGCCAAGTCATTACATCAAGTGGATTCCATACTAAGCAGCATGAACCTTAAGGAACCAGAGAGATCCAGGGAGGAATGGCTACACCAGAATAAGAGTTTTATAACAACATATCTGAAGGACTTAGTATAGAACTGGTTCATCAAATGGCAAGTGCAAAGGGTAGCAGTAAATACTCTTATTGCATTATCTTGCTTTCCGGGGTGCCTTAATTTCAAGAAATGGCTTTGTGGGTGTGTTTAAAAAAAAAATACTACTTAGAAGAAAGCCACTTCAAACTGTGTTTAGAAGCTAAATAAATACAATAGTCCCCAGAACAGAGATGCAGTGGGCATTTTAATACATAAATCAAAGGAAAATTAGGAGTCCTAATTGACTCATGGGGCTGACCACACATTTCTGTATAAGTGCTTATTTTAATAAACCATGGACCCTGAATAACATTCTTAATCAGTCACTTAGCGAGTGGGTATTAGTGCAGAATGCAAATTATTTGAGTTTAACCTTCAACTGCTATACATGTTTCAGATGCATATTTCCTTTAACTTTGTTTATAAGCGGGACAATCATGGTATGAAATGGATGGGGTTTTGGTCTGCTAAAGATGCCTTTCAGAAATATTTTGCCTAAAAATATTCTACTTATCAGAAGCCAAAACACTCCCACAAGGAAATGTCCTACATCTGAAGGAGAAAAGACCCTGCTCTTCAAATTTCTCTATTTGGTGATCTTCTCTTTAAATAAAATCACTAGTTTACAGTTGTGAAACTGTAAACTAGATATGAAATTAGGTTCCTTCTATGGAACCTTCTTTAGGTTCTGCTAAAGAGAATTACAATAAAATATGGGGAAATGGATGCTCCATGAGTGTCTCTAGATGAAAGTAGGCCTGGAACATCAGCAGTTCCCACCTGCCATCTCCTTCTACTCTAAAGGTCTCCCAAGAAAAGACCTGGGGACTATAAGTCATCTATAGCTCCTCCTTATTAAGGACTATGGATATGCCAAGAATGCCTCTGTTGTTTATAATGGACGGTATATGATAAGACTGTTATGGCAGATGACTAGCTTTTCTAGTCAGGATATATTTGGACTAAAAGTACTGAGTACTTCATATCATTAAGGTCAGGATTTAGGAAGTGCTTATAGTGATGATATGCGTAGCTGGAGCTAGAAAGTTGTCTGTGCTCAGGGGATCTCTAGGTCCTACTGCTCTATCTCTCATGAATAGCTTCATCTTGCTCATGGGATCTCTTCATCTCCTCGCATTCCTTCTCTCCATTCTTCCCATCAATTTTACTTCCTCCTAACATCTGTTTGCTCGTGCCACAGGTATGCACAGGAGTCACCATGGCTGTCTCAGACTCATTCTACTGAAACCTTGCTGCTTCGGGTTTCACAGCTAATCACCCTTTTGTTTGTTTGGGTTTCCTAGTTCATATTACACAGAAAGGAAATTTGATTGGCCTAGCTTAATCTCTTTCTTTTTGTTTTTAAACCAAGCTTTATAAAGAAATTCACAACAAAATGTACTCATTTTAAGTATACAAGTCAATAATTTTTGGTAAATTTATAGAATTGTACAACCATCACTATAAGCCAGTTTTAGAACATTTTTAACACAAAAAACTCCAGTGGGACTTTCTGCAGTTAATCCCTGGTTCCATCTCCAGCTTTAGACAACTACTTATATGGTTTCTATCCCTATTAGAATGTCCCTTCAGGATATTTCATTTAAACGGAATCATAAAATATGTGATGTTTTGTCAAAGTCTTCTTTCACTGAACATAATGGTTTTGGGCTTCATAGTGTTACAACCTGGATCACTAATTTGTCCCTTTAAATTGCTGGATAGTAGTGCATTGTATGGGTAACCTATGTTTTAGAATATTCCAAATCCATTTCAGATGGAAAATCCAATGGAATATTCCACCTCAACAGTTAATGGGCATTTGGATTGTTCTCAGTGTGACTCCAATGAATAATGTTACTGTGAATATCATTTCAAAAACACCTGTCTTGATTACTATAGCTTTAAAGTAAGTTTTGAAGTTGGCTTATGCAAGTCTTCTAACTTTGTTCTCCCTTGACAAAACTGTCTTGACTATTTGAGGTTTTTTTCATTTCCATGTATTATTTAGGATCAGCTTATCAATTTCTAATGATTTGTTATGATTCTGTGATTCTGATAGGGATTCAATTTAATATATAAATCAATTATTTATCAACTTGGGGAGAATTGCCATCTTAAAATATTGAGTCTTTCAATCCATGAATATGTAGTGTCTCTCCATTTATTGAGATATTTAATGTCCCACAGAAATATTTCGTAGTTCTGTATGCAAATCCTATACTTTGACTATTAATATCTTCCTAAATATTTTATCCTTTCTGATACTTTTGTAGATATCACTATTCATTTAATTTTATTTTTGGATTGTCATTGTTAACATACAGAAATATGATTTATTTTTTAATATCATATAGCTTGTGATAGGAAATAGTCTATTAGTTCTACAGTTTTACTGTTGATTTTTAAATTTCCTGCATAAAGATGTAGTCTGCTAAGAAAAACTATTCTGTTTTTTCATTTCTGCATGAATGAATCTATCTATCTACCTACTACCTCTCATCACCTTATTGTACTATCTAGAACCTTTGGTTATAATTTTGAATAGAAGTGGTGAGAATGGACATCTTTGCTGTGTTCAAGATCTTAAGAGAAGGAAAGCATGAAATATTTAACTATTAAGAATGATGCTTACCATACATTTTTCATAGATGTCCTTTTCAATTTGAGTAAGTTACATTTTATTTCTAGTTTATTGAGATTTCTAATTAAAAGTGGGTGTTAAATTTTGTCAAATGCTTTTTCTGCATCTACTGATTTTACTAATATAGTGCATTGCTGTCCTTGATTTTCGTTTATTAAAACAGTCATACATTTCTGGATAAATTTCACTTGTTTATTTTTCTGTCCCTTTTTTATATGTTGTCAAAGTTAGTTTGGTAAGGATAGTTGCATCAATGTTCATGAAGGATATTGGTTTATAGTTTTCTTTACTTGCTTTTTCTTTTCATTTTTTTCTAGCTTTCATACCCGGATAATGTTGGTCTCAAATAATGACTTGTGTGGTTTTCCCTCCTCCTCTTCCTGAAAGGGTTTGAGAAGAACTGGTATCATTTCTTTTGAAAATATGTAAAGAATACATAGAATTCATAATTGAAGCCATCCTGCTGGAAATTTTCTTCATGGGACCATTAAAAATTTCTAATGCAATGTAATACCTTTGATTATTTTTGTATCTTTTTAGACTACCTATCTTCCTGAGTCAGTTTTAGCAATTTGTTTCTTTCTAAGAATTTTCCCACTTCGGGGTGCCTGGGTGGCTCAGTGGGTTAAAGCCTCTGCCTTCAGCTCAGGTCATGATCCCAGGGTCCTGGGATCAAGCCCCACATTGGGCTCTCTGCTCAGCAGGGAGCCTGCTTCCACTTCTCTCTCTGTCTGCCTCTCTGCCTACTTGTGATCTCTGTCTGTCAAATAAATAAATAAATAAATCTTTAAAAAAAAAAAAGAATTTTCCCACTTCGTGAAAGTTTTCTAATTTGTTGCCAAGCTCACTTTTTGTGTCAGGTGGTATCATAGATTACTGCTTGGCCCTGAATTGATCTTTCCTGGCACCCACCCATTTGTGGCTATGGAGGGATAAAGTTTCATGGTACAAAGCTAAATTGCCAAAAGGTTGTCCTGTTTGACAGAGACTAGAGAAGACACATTGGGCATGGTTCTTTTGTAGCTATGGGCTGGAAAGCATTCCCAGTTTAATGCTATCCACCACATAAGTTAAACATTTCAGCATAACTTTTTATACTTACTCTTGTGTTGGGAACTTTGTAATGTTGAAGAAACATTTGAAAGTGGAATCTTTGTCACTGTTGCATTTGTGACAGTTACCTCAATCTTCGTGATGACACTGGTTGTGGCTCCTAATTATGTAAAAACAAAAGTAGCCATCAGGGGTGTAATCAATAAATAGATAGTCTTATTATCTTATTAGTATTAATATTAACATCCAATTATGACTTGAATATTAGTTACTGAAAGTTTTCTGATCAAGTTTTAGAAATCCAACATTTTGATATTTACTTTTTAGTGATCCGGTTAATTTTGTTAAGAAAACAAGGCATATTTGACTCTTTTATATGTTTGCTATAGTTTATCTCATTTGAGCAGACAGTAATCCTATTAATTAAGTAATAATTGTGATCACAATTTTATATATAAGATTCAGAAAACTTAATTTCTCCATTGTCACATAACTTGTAATAGGAGAGAGCTAGGATCTGAATCCAAGCTTTTCTGATGCAAAAGTTAATCGATCACTCAGCTACCCTAGAAAGGGGGTGGTAAGGAAGTGGTAGTAGTTGAAGATGGTACCATGGTTCCCATGTTGTCTTGGAAGGAATTTTCAGGTAGGGGCAATAGACAGCAGAAAAGGGATAATAGGAATTCCTTAAAATAAACTTTTAATTATACTTAGTTCATTTTTTGGAGGGGGGGAAGGAAAATTAACAACAAAAATAACCTGAGATTATCAAATAACTCTGGAATAAGATTACTTGAAACAATTTATATTTGCACAAATATTATAAAAATGATTAATGTTTTTCGCTCTTTTCAAAGTCTAATGTGGAGATCATTGGTTAGTGAAAAAAAGATAGGCATGCTGGGTACTGCATGCTTAATGTTAGCTACATATGATGCTGGCTGGAGATGGGAAGAAGCCAGTTTAATAGATTTCTGTCACACAGTAGGCAGAAAGACTGAATTGCTGGTGTTTTCCAGAAGTGCCAAACAGCTTCCATTCTACGACAACAAGCATCTATACTGTAACGCAAATTCTTAGTGCAATTAAGAGATTGATGCCAGAGAAACTGAGAGTTTGCAAGAAGACCTCAGAGACAGTAGGTAAATATGTCTTTACACAAAAAGTCTTCAGGAATTGATATGCCAGCAAAATATAAATATAAGCTCAAATGTAGGCTATAGCATTAACACTGTATATGAGAAAGAAAGAATTGAAATAAGCAAAACTTTCAATGCATCTTTTTAAAAAAGATTTTATTTATTTATTTCACAGAGAGAGAGATCACAAGTAGGCAGAAAGGCAGGCACAGAGAGAGAGGGAAACAAGCTCCCTGCTGAGCAGAGAACCCGATGCAGGATTAGATCCCAGGACCCTGAAATCATGACCTGAGCCGAAGATAGACACTTAACTGACTGAGACACCCAGGCACCCCTGCATGCATCTTGAAGTAATAAATTGAGAGAGAAATATTTGAGAAAATAAAGAAATATCTTATCATAGCAGACATTGATGCTCGTGATAACATGGAAGTACAAAAGATCACCCAAAAGGTAGAAACTCAACATTTGAGGATCAAGGGACATGTAGGGATAAAGATTTTGCTTTTCAGTAGAACTCCAAGAACATACTCTTGGAAACGTTAGAACAGGATTTCCTTTTTAGAAATTTTTGGTGGAGAATTCTTCTGCTGTGAAAACCATGGAAAAGGTATCCTGATGGCCCAAAGGATTTCCTAGCATGAGACAGACTTAATGGTCTTAGACATGGAAAAGAGAATTTATATTTAAGAAAGATGTGGGAAACTGGCAGATTAGAAAAATACAAAGAAGAGAGTGGAATAATGCAATAACTGGGGATACAATGCCAAAGAGTTCCCTTCAAGAATTGCCTATTATTGATGTGGAATATACTTCACAAATAAGGGTAAAATGAGAGCCCATAGTCAACTCAGGACAGGTTGTCAATTTCACAGTGTCCTGTAGGCAATGGAAGGAATCTTGAATGCTTTATATTTTTAAATATATATGCATGGTGGACCTAAAACAAACAGAAGGAAAGATATAGAGACAAATGTTGCCACAGTCATAAATTTTGAAATTTTACTAGTATACTGAAGTGTTTCAAATCCTAGATTCAAGAGAGAAGAAAATGGGTGATGTACATTTATTAAGATATGAAGATCCTAATCTTGTATTAACGTTTTGTTTTAAAAATTTTCCCAATTGCACTTGGGGTTCACACTTAGTAGACTCTGGACTCCTTCCAGGAAGTGATTGACATCTCAGAAAAATAAAACCAATCTTAAAGTTGTTCTTTAAACTTAACGTGGTTTGCTCTCTTTCAGTTTTTCTGTCTGGCCATTTCACCCCAGATAAAACTACATATCTGCTTTGGTCTACAAGTGCAAATTGAACTGTAAGCCTATAAATATAATATTATATTAGGTTTGACAAACATTATTTTATTTGAGTAATACTAATTTAAATTGTGACATCAAAATAGTATTGACTTTATTTTTAGGACTTGTGTTTTTGAAGTTAATGTCCTTTAAGTTCTTAGAACTTTGGTATAGGTAGAATGAATTGAAGACAAAATATAAGAATTTTAAAACCACATTTGACTTGGGATAAGAAGAGTCTATTAATGAGATGCTTGGAAAACCTCATCAATACCAGAGTGTGAGAGCAAAGAAGACAACTTCACTGCATCCATACCCTTAAGTGAAAACCATTGGCTGGAACTGAGCAGAATGAATGTGAGAGATAAGGGCTGTTTTATAATTGCTTTGGAATTATTGATGTGAGATTCATTTTGTATATTTCATGAACTTAAATTTTTGGGAGAAAGCAATAAATGTGGGTATTATTTATATTAGGAACATAGATGTGTTTATAACAGATTGACAATTGATTTGAAAGAGAGGGTTTATGGAGTTAAATTGTGCAAGGCATGGGATTAAGCAGTTTTATTCCTTTGGAATTATGTAATTTGAATTACAGTATTGTTTTATCTAACGCACATAAGCAAAAGCTGCTTGTGTGGTCACTTTGTCTTTAGAAATAGAATACGGGATAAGTGACTTTTTTACAAAGTTAGCATTTACTAAAGCATATGCTAAAAATACTATTACTGTGGTCTGTTAAATTGGTTTTATGTTTAAGGAAAGACATTTTGTAGTCAAATTAACTGGAGATGCATAGATTGTAAAAAAGCTAAATGGATGTTTTTGTGATAGGATTATTAATATAAAAAGAAATGTTATTGTGCATTGTGGAACCCCAAGAGGGTAGTCTTTTTTTTTTTTTTTAAGATTTTATTTATTTATTTGACAGACAGAGATCACAAGTAGGCAGAGAGGCAGGCAGAGAGGGAGAGAGAAGGAAGCAGGCTCACCTCCAAGCAGAGAGCCCAACGTGGGGCTCGATCCCAGGACCCTGAGATCATGACCTGAGCCGAAGGCAGAGGCTTTAAACCACTGAGCTACCCTGGTGCCCCGAGGGTAGTCTTTTTTAAAGCAATTGTCCAAGGACCTCCATTTCCAAGGATCATTTTATGGCTCCATAGAAATTTTGTATCTATGGCAACATGGATACAACTTAATTAATGTCTTGATTCATTTAAGTGACTTCTGGGGGTAATATTAAAAAGCCAGTCATGGAAAGATTGTGAGAAGCCTAAGTACTTACTTATGCCAATGGGCTTAAAGAGATGCATCAAAGCAGTGGCAAGAACTGAAAAAAAATCCTTCTTAAAATTTTGTTCAGATTTTCTGATCTTTTTTAAAATTTTGTTCAGATTTTCCAATCTTTTTTTGGAGTGAAGAGTAATACATCGGAATGTTAATAAATTCAAATGTTAAGCACAGAAGCATAAAAGTGAAGGGGTGTAGGCCAATCACCTGAAAAACTCAAGGAGAATTCAGAACTGTGGCTCCTCCAACTCAGTTAATGGAACAAGGCTACAATGGAGTTCCAGAGATCCTGAAGAAAACAAAATGGTGATGGTGGAGGACAGTCTAGGTGAAATAGGACTATAGCTCTCACTGGGAGATACAAAGAGAAGGGAGTTTTATTTCTATGTGAATTTTGTATTTCCTTTTCCTTTTCCATATCATTTAGATAGTGGGTTAAGGTAGAATGAAAGGCCCCTTGAAATTGTGCATTTACCAATATTATCCCTTTTGCTAGACTGACTGGGACCTGGTTATAACCCCAGGGCAAAGGAGCCAGAGCAGACTACCAAGAGCTCCCTGACACTTTGGCCTTGGCTAACAGGGTGTCTAAATGTCTTCAGATCTATCCATTTTCTAACTCAGTTTATCAAGTCAAGTTCATATAGTAATTTGGGACTGATTCCAGGGCAGGTACAAAGTTTTACCTGTATTTACAGTGACTCTTTGCTTATATACCCCAGAAATCAAGTGGTTTGCAGTGGTTTGGTGACCTCAGAGGGATGTAGTGATTTGGAATTCTTTTTAAGTCCTTGTTCTTCCTTAGAGAGTTCATTAATAAGTAAATATTGACTTTCCACTTTAAAAAAAATCTATTTTAAGAGTGTTTCGGAGCCAGACCAAATACTGGTAGAGTTGTCTCCTTCATTTTCTTAGATCTACCAATTCTATTTGTCTACATGTTTTTACACATCAGTGAATAACTGGCCACAGTGCTTATGGGGATCTTAAAAGCTTTGGGAACATTTGAGCTGCCCCTTTTGAAAACTACAGTTCATGACAACCACCATGGGGTTACTCCCACGTCAGGTGGTGGGCAAAAAAGAATTGTTTGTTTGTTTTCTGGTTGTAGAATGCACATTACTTTTTAAAATTTTACTGTGAATGGCATTTAAATAACATAATAGTACCTTATTTAAGCAATTTTAAACTGCACTACTGAAGCCTTAAGGGCTCAAGTGTGGAAGCCTCAAAGACTATTGTTAGCAATAAGAGAGAGAAGTGGAGAGAAGTCCACCCTGCCCACATGCACACACCACCACCACATTGCTTCAAACAAGAAGTACTTACATATTCCATACATATATGTATTTTATATGGAAATGTATTTTCCAATTAAAAGAATTCAGGTCACAATTGTCTTACTTTATAAGGAGGGTCATAAAATGTTAACCTTGCCTATCCACACTAAAAGTAAGATGAAGAAGGCAGAGTAGGAAGAAATAATATTAGGTTTGAAATTGCAAATTGCTACTATGAATTACCATGAATTTTTTGCTTCTTTTGTTAAGTCACTTAGCCTCTCTGAAACCTAGTTTTTCCATCTTTAAATAATAATTTAAAAATAAACTTTAAAAATGATAACACATTTCTTAAAATAAGAGCCAAATGCACTATTATAAAAATAGTGCATAAAAATAGTACTTTGAAAAAAATTGCAAAGCATTTGCAAGTTATGCTTATTATGCTCTGCCTAACAGAGGCAAGGATATCTACAATATACTGTTGAATAGTCTCTATATCATTTTTTTAAATTTTATTTCTTTTCAGTGTTCCAGAATTCATTGTTTATGCACCACACCCACTGCTCCATGCAATATGTGCCCTCCATAATCATTTATTTTTAAAATTACATTAAATTAAATTTTAAAATTTTATGCTTAAGGGTGGTAACTTCTGGAAGGTAGTAAATACACTGAAGAGGAAAGAATTTTTTAAATGTAATAGGGAGAAATTTATAAACATGTAGAAATTTAAAAATAAACTTAATCACCAATGGTCCAAGGAATAAATAACAAGGGATATTAGGAAATACTTTGAGATGAACAAACATGGAAATGCCATCTACCAAAATTTATGGGATGTAACAAAAGCAGAACTGAGGGAAACTTGTGGGTGTAAACATCCAGTTTATAAGGGAAGAAAGATCTCATATTAATATTCCAGTGTGCCAACTTAAAAATTTAGTAAGAGAGAACTAACCCCAAAGCCAACAGAAAGAAAAGGAAATAATAAAGACTAGAAAGAAGAGAAATAAAATAGGTAAGAAGAAAGCAATAAAGAAATTAATAAAATAAAAAGTTACTTCTTTGACAAGATTGACAAAATTGACAAACCCTTAGACAGACAAAGAAAAAAGAGGGAGGACTCAAATTACTAAATCATGAATGAAAGTGAACACATTTTTATCATCCTTACAGAACTAAGAAGGGTTATAAGGCAATACAATGAATAACTGTATGTTAACAAATTATATAACCTATATGAAATGAGAAAATTCTCAGGAAATCACCAACTGTAGCCAAAATTGAGTCAAGAAGAAATAGAAAATCTGAATAGAACTATAATGAGCAAAGAGATTGACTTAGTAATCAGAGAAACACACACACACAATGAAAAATCCAGGACCAGATGGCTTCGCTGGTAAAATCTATCACACATTTAAAAAATAATTACGATCTATTCTTCATAAACTCTTCCAAAAATTAGTAAAGGAAGGAACTTCCTAATTTGTCCTAGGAGGCTAGTCTTACTCTGATACCAAAATTAGGCAAAAACATCACACACTTATTTCTCTTATGAATACAGACACAAACATTCTGAACAAAATAATACAGATCAAATCCAGAAACATATAAGAGCATTATATGCCATGACAAAGTAAGATTTATCTCAGAAATGCAAGGTTATTTCAACATATAGAAATCAATGTAATATGTCTTATTAATAAAATAAGGGATAAAAAACCACACAGCAATCTCAATATGCTGAGAAAAGGCATATGACAAAATCTAACACCTTTGCATGATAAAAACATTTAACAAACTAGTAACAGAAGAGGACTTTCTCAACCTGATAAAGGGCATGTTTGAAAAATGCACAATAGCATCATACTTTAATGGTGAGAGAATGAAAGCATTCCTTTATAATTAGGAGCAAAACAAGGAAATTTTCTCTTATCACTTCTATTCAGTGCTGTACTGGAGGTTCTAGCAAGAGCAAAATGGTAAGAAAATTTTAAAAAATCATCTAAAAAAATAAAAAACAGAAAGCATCTAGATTGGAAAAGGAGAAGTTAAACTATATATATTTGCAAATAAATCTTATATACAGAAAATCCAAAGGAACACACACACACATACAGATGCACACAACACACAAATACAAATTAGAACAAATAAATGGATTCAACAAGATGGCAAGGTACAATATCAATATATGAAGATAAATTATATTTCTATACAGTAGCAATGAACAATCCAAAAACAAAATTAAGAAAATGATTTCACTTACAGTAGCATGAAATGGATAAAATATTTGGAATAAATTGGACAAAAAATGCAAGTCTTCTACACTGAAAACTACAAACATTATAAAAAAAAGTTAAAGAAGACCTAAAATGAACAGGAAGCTGTCCTACATTCATGGATTGGAATATTTAAGATCATTAATATGGCAATACTCCCAACTTGATCTGCAGATGTGATGCCGTCCTTATCACAATCCCAGTTGTTATTTTGCAGAAATTGTCAAGTTGATCCTAAATTTCCTATGAAAACTCAAGTGAGCCAGGGTAGTGAAAAAATCTTGAAAAAGAAGAGAAAAGTTGGAGGACTCACATTTCCTGATTTTAAAACTTAATACAAATGGTAATGCAGAGTGTATGATTCTTGCATAAAAATAGATACAGAGATAAATGGAATATATCTGAGTCCAGGGGAAAAAAAAAAAAAGAACCTCATACATTTATGGCCACCTACACAATTTAAACAGGGAAAGAATAGTCTTTTCAACAAAAGGTGTTAGGACAACTAGATAATTATACACAGAAGAGTGAAACTGGACATCTAACTCACACTATAAACAAAAATTAAAGACTTACATAGAAAAGCTAATACTATAAAATTCTTAGAAGAGACCACTGGCATAAATCTTTGTGAACTTGAGGGCACATGCACACAAATGTTTATAGCAGCAATGTCCACAATAGCCAAACTATGGAAAGAATCTAGATGTCCATCAACAGATGAATGGATAAAGAAGATGTGGTATATATATACAATGGAATACTATGCAGCCATCAAAAGAAATGAAATCTTGCCATTTGTGATGATGTGGATGGAACTAGAGGGTATTATGCTTAGCGAAATAAGTCAATTGGAGAAAGACAACTATCATATGATCTCCCTGATATGAGGAAGTGGAGATGCAACGTGGGAGGTTTGGGGGGTAGGAAAAGAATAAATGAAACAAGATGGGATTGGGGGGGAGACAAACCATAAGAGACTCTTAATCTCACAGAACAAACTGAGGGTTGCTGGGGGAAGGGGGGTCGGGAGAGAGTGGTGGGGTTATGGACATTGTGGGGGTGTATGCTGTGGTGAGTGCTGTGAAGTGTGTAAACCTGGCGATTCACAGACCTGTACCCTTGGGGCTAAAAATACATTATATGTTTACAAAAAAAAATTAAAAATTAAAAAATATCTTTGCGACCTTGAGTTGACCATGGTTTCTTAGATTTTACCCCACTGACTGAAGGAAACCAGAATGTTACCCTGAAATATCTTTGACATAAAAATTATTTTGACTGCAGCCAATTGAGAGGCAGCCAATGCAGGAAAAGCTTTTCTGCTTAAGGGCAGGATATAAATTCTCCTTTTACTGGAGACAGAGTCTTACCAGCCCAGAGAAGAAACTAGCGGACTCCGCAAACAAAAGTTACTCCATTAGTTTTCCTTCCAGATATTTTCCTTCAATTTGTTTCCTGCCCTTGGAAGCCTAAATTACTTTCTTTTGTCCAGTCATTTTTCTACAAACTTACTGTCCTTTGTTCTAGATGTTATATAAGCTAAAATTCTAAACCACTGCTTTGAGTTACTCTTTGTTTTAGGTTTCTCATGTGCTGTGCACTGCCCATGTTAATAAGCTGTTTTTTGTTAATCTGTCTTCTTGTTAGTGTCCCAGATGAAAACCTAAAATGAGTAGAGGTAAAGTTTTGCCTTCTCTACATGAAAGAAAAAAATATAGATATTTTTTGCTTCATCAGAATTAGAGATTATAGTGTTTCAAAAGTTACCATCAAGAAAATGGGAAGACAATCTACAGAATGGGAGAAAATATTTGCAAAATATCTGTCCAATAAGGCCCTTGGCTCCAAAATATATTTAAAAAAATACTTACAACCCAATGATAAAAGACAACCCAATTTTTAAAAAGATGGAAAGAATTAAATAGACAGTTTTCCAAAGAAGATATACAATTGTCAGCAAGTACATGAAAAGATGCTTGGTAGCATTCGTCATTAGGGAAATGTAAGTCAAAACCACAATGATACCACTTCATGCCCACTAGAATGGCTATGATGAAAAAGATAGATAGCAACAAGTAGGGATTGGAAAGTGGACAACTAATATCCTCTGACTTTTCTGGTGGGAATGTAAACAGTGCAGCTGCTTGGGAAATCAGTTCCTCAAAAAGTTAAACATAGGGTTACCATGTGCCTCAGCAATTCCACGTTAAGATACATATCACAAAAGAAAGAAGGGACAAGGCCACATAAAAACTTGTATAAGAATCTTCATAGCAACATTTTTTGTAACAGCTGAAAAGTAGAAACAACTAAAATGTCCATCAACTAAAAAAAATAAACAAAATGTGGTACATCCAAACCATGAAATACTACTCACTCATAAAAATAAATGAACTACAGATAAATGCTAGAGCGTGGATGAACCTAAGAACATTCTGCTATGTGAAAGTCGGATACAAAAGATCATATACAATATGATCCTATTTATGTGGTTTTTTTACATGAAATTTCTAAAATAGGTAGAGGGACAGAGAGTAGGTTAGTGGTCCCTGGAAGTGGGGAAAGGAGTAAATGGGAAGTGATTAGTAACAGATACAGGGTTTCTTTTTGGAGTGATGAAAATGTTCCAGAATTAGATAGTGTGATGGTTGCATAATTTTGTTGATATACTGAAAATCACTGCCTTGTCCACTCCTGAAGAGTGATTATGATGGCATATGAATTACATACATGAAAGAAAAATGACTGCAAATGATCATTACTCACCTTCACTTTTAAGTGTTGCCGTTAACGAAGAATGTGTTGGCTGCAAAGATGTACTTGAGAGTTTCTTACTGGTTGTTCCTAGTTTGATAAGATAGATGACATTATTATTAATCACAATTTCATCTCACCTGCCAAAGAATAAATGTCAGTCAAATCTGGAGGTAAACTAGAATCTCTCTACAGTGGTACTGTCAGCTTTTGTCGATCTTTAATTTTTTCATTTCCTATCTCCTTTTGTGCAAAGTAAGGAACATAGGTACTGAATGCTTGGGTGACCCAAGGAAAACACACACACACACACACACACACACTCACACACACACACACATACACACACATATTTTTTTTCTACAATAGGCCCCCAAAGCAAATTTTCACTGCAAATTGTTACTTGGGTATCTTTAAACATGCGAAAGACATATATTGCAAAAACACATGATTTAAAATTGTTATTTTTCCCAAGAGAAAAATAACCTGGCCAATAGGACCTTTTCCCCCCAGAATTAAATTTCATTTTGTTGATTTGATTATGACCCTGCAACTTCCAAAATTACATAAATTATAAAGGAACTTGCAAATTCTTGTAATTAGATAATTTGTTCATTTATGAAACATCCACTGAGTTCCCAGTCTGTGCAAGACCCTTTTCTAGACTCTTGAAGGCAGTGTCAAACTCTTGGTCATTTTTTAAATCTGAGTAGTATCGAGGCATTCTTGGCATACGGTAGGCATGTAGTAAATGTTTTCCATAAGCAGGGACTCATGTAGATCATGGGAACCAAGAAAAGACAAAGATTTGTTTTATGTAGTGAATACAACTTACAAATATGATAGCCATACTAGTCAACATTCCCTTCTTAAAATACTTTAGGATATCCTTTTGTGATTAGGGCATAGGTTCTATTTTTATTGTGTGACATAGATAAAATCCTGGTTCTTAAAGGTATGCATGCTGTATTGGGGGAGAAACAATTTGGCTCTGCACAGTTTAATGCTTTAAAACTCATCCAGAAAAAATTTTTCAAAGGTAATCTGGCTGGATCTGTCTAAGAGAAGAAACTAAGGAATCACAAGGAAGTTAAGATCTTTGAAGGGTCACTGGGGACAATTGCCTCCAAGTGGATGGTGGAGGTGTTCTCTTCTGCTCCTCTCTCCTCACTTTTTATTAGAGGAGATAGGTTATTATAGAAATGGAAAGTGGCTGTAACATGCAGATACTGGGAATTATAATATATGGAGAGTGCTGAAGCACTTAAGACATTCTCACAGTCTTCTCTACCCAATATGGGGTTATATTTTAAAAGAAGAAACCAACAAAGGACACATTATTCCTAAAAGCTAGGTTTGAGATTTTTGCATTGCCCAATCACAGGGATGCCACCTTTCTTTCTTTCTTTCTTTCTTTCTTTCTTTCTTTCTTTCTTTCTTTCTTTCTCTCTTTCTCTCTTTCCTCTTTCTCTCTTTCTCTCTTTCTTTCTTTCTTTAGAGAAAGAGAGAGTGGGAGCACACAAGCTGGGGGAAAGGCAGAGGGAAAGGGAGAGAGAGAATTCCAATCCCATTCTCCATGCTCAGTGCAGAGCTCAACATTGGCTCAATAATTGAGCATGACCCTGAGATCATGACCTGAGCCCAAATCAAGAGTTAGATGCTTAACTGGTTGATCCACCCAGGTGTTCCCAGAATGCCATCTTAAGGTGAAGATGTAATGATATGAATCAACTGTCCTTTCCAGCCAGATGTGGTGAATTTTTTTCATTTCAGCACTATTCTTGGCATTCTTGGTACCAAGAACAGGCTAAATTGAATTTTTATAATTACCTTGTTTCATATGTTTCACTGGGATATGTCTCCTATTTCACTTGAAATTTCAAGAATAGGAATGATTACAGGAAATAATCAGGATACATATAACAATAATCATGAATATAAATAGAAAAAGTATAAAGTGGGTGCAGTTCTTGAGTTTCTAAAGCCCTTGACCCTTTCCTTTTATAGCTACCCTGACTTCATGTTTGACAGAGGAAAGATAAGTAACAAATTTGAGCTTTGGCCCAAGCATTCAGCCCAAATCTATATGGCTTCAACATCAGTCTTGGTCTTTGGAAAACTGAAGAGCTGAATGGCTATCCATTTCTGGAGTTCCTGAACTTGTGTGTGAACAGTGATCCTATAATCATGACCATGATCATTGTATCTAATCAATGTTACTCTATCTATAACAGAAACAGAACACAATTATTTTAGATTTATATTTAATGTATGAATATTCACTTTCCAATATGGATAAGCATTCTACATGTAACTTACAATAAAATTCTTATGTGCTAAATATGTTGAAATTCTGAGGTATAAATGTATCCTTATTAGTGCAAGATAAAGTGTCATACTAATTAACGAGGATTGTGATTTCTGTTAATTTTATGTGCAAAGTTCTTAAAAAATTAAGAACTTATTCTAGTTAATAAAAGAAATAGATTGAATTTAATATGAACAATAAGAGAATACTATAGCCTTATGTATTTAGGGATATTATATAATCTTGTTTATAAAAGATTATAGATGTTTATGGATGTTTATAAAAGATTAAGATATTTATAGAAGATTAAGTCATTAAAATATCATAATTGTACTCTGTTAAATTTTTAGTAAACTATCATCCATAACATTTTCCAAAATAATCTTTTGGACCTTTGTTTAGTTCCATTTAGGACATCAGGGTTTCAAGAAATTGCCTAATTTATAAACATTTTATATCTTATGAGTATAAACTAAAAGCAAAAAGCCAACTTTATAATTTCAAAACTCCATGAAAAGGAAAACCCCAAAAATATTGTGCAAAGATACCCCAGGTAAGTCATTTTCAATTCAAACTTACTAAGGTATATAAAGACAGTGAAAAAAAGAAGAAAGATACAGAGAAAATGTGGTACCCAAACCTATTTTCTCACTAATATGAGAAAATTTACAAGACTGTCTTTTAAAAGTCCCTTCTTTGCAGTTTTATTTTAGTTTCCAGAGACGAAGTCCATTGTAAACATCACCATGACTGGCACCCTATATGGAAGAGATGGCCAAAAACACTGGGCTCCTCTATTGACCTCAGCAGACACTGAATATCTATTTAGTATCAGAAATGCGAAATATCAGGGCTGACAAATTAATTCAGCTAATTCAAAAAAGTTTGATTATTAAAAGGCTTAAAAATCAAGCTGAATAATAATTATGTTTTAAGAATGATATTTCAGGTTATTTTTCTCTCTGAGAAGTTTATCTCACGGGGCACCGGAGTGGCTCCATTGGTTAGGCATCTCCTTCAGCTCAGGTCATGATCCCAGAGTCCTTCGTTGGGCTCTCTACTCATTGGGGTGTTTGCTTCTCCCTCTCCTTCTGCCTCCTGTTCTGTCTGCTTGTTTTTTTTTTGTTTGTTTGTTTGTTTTTTTTTTTGCTCTCTCTCTCTGTCAAATAAGTAAAATCTTTAAAAATAAAATAAAATAAAATATTAAAAAAAAAAGAAATTAATCTCATGATGATGTCATTCAGCATCTGCCAAGTGTTGATATTAACTCTGGCCACTTGGCCTTTGAACAAAATGGGCAGAGCACTTGGTATGTAGCCAGGAAGAGATCAGGTCCCTTCTCTCTTACTGGGTAAACCTCTGAATGTGAAACCTACTCCAAGCAAAGCTGTCAGTCACCTCTGCCACTGTTGCTACATTGCTACAAGAAGAGTTCTCATCTCAGTAGCACATTTTCCACTTTTCTGATGATGGAATTTCTGCCATTGTTGAGAGAAAGGAAATTTACCTGCTTTAGATAGACATAAGCACTATTAAATCAAGTATCTTTTGACTTTAAAATAAGAAGATCTGGTTGGAAAGCCTTAAAAGAAAAATAAAGATGTTTTCCATGTTTTTTGTTGTTGTTGTTTTGTTTTTGTTTTTGTTTTTTGGTTTTTTTTGCAAATACTTTTATTTTGTCTAATGACCATGATGTCTGGGACACCAGTGTGGCTCAGTCAGTTAAGCCTCCAACTCGTGATTTTGGCTCAGGTCATGATTTCAAGGTCATGAGATCTAGCCCTGCATAGAGTTCAGTAGGGAGTCTGCTGGAGTTTCTCTCCCTCTCCTTCTGCCTCTCCTGCTGCCCTCTCTTTCTCTCAAATAAGTAAATAAATATTTTTTAAAAATCACTTGACAACCAAATAAAAATGGAGAAAGAGAAAAAGGAAAAGGAAGGAAGGAAGGGAACAAGGGAGGGAAGGAGGAGAAAGAAAACGAAAAAGCAAATATGGTAAAATTTTGATAATTATTAATTCTGGGAGATGGGCATATGGGGATTAATTATAGTGCTCTATTGTGGGTACATCTGGACATTTTTGTAATAAAAAGTAAAGCTTCACTGGCCTATTACAATTTGTATAATTGAATGTGAGAAATTTAAAACTCATCTGGGAGAACTTTTGAAGAACACAGACTGGAGATTAGTTTTTGTTAACTGGTTTATATAAGACAGTGAAGTGCCCAGAAAAGAAATTTAGAAGAAGCTATGCGTGTGTGTGTGTGTATGTTCTCCGATTTCAAGTGTTTTCCAAAGCGACTTGTTTCAGATAAGGGGCTTCAGTGACCCACTTTAGGAGCCACCAGTGGTAAAGTTGTTGGGGTTATCTCCTCAGTTTATATGAGTAGGTAGAGAGTTTCCCTTCCAAGCTGGGAAGGTAAGATGAATTCCCAGTATCAGAAATGGCAATTCTGCCTGAATTCCTTCTCTGAAGCTTCCGTCTCTCCCTGCCATGGTCACATAACATAACAGTTAGGGGTCTATGTTAATTTGACATTGTTATTCACCACAGGTCACTATGGTCAGGGCTAGTAATCATCTCACTGAGAAAGCATAAGTTCCAAGGATTAATGTAGAAATTGCAAAACTTCAACCCTTTGAGTCAGCATGCAATATCAGTACCTACCTTCTCTTTATTGGTCCTTTTGGGGTGATGTTTTTTATTACAAAAGTAACATGCTTTTACCAAATTAATGCAATTTTATGCCAAGAACACCACTGGCAACTCACAGAGAGAGTGAAAGAAAGAGAGAGAGAGAGAGAGGAGAGCAGCAAATGCTTATACTTGGTAAAAGTATGAGCATGCCTCTCTGCTTAAACCCTGAAAACATAAGGTTGAAACAATTTTTAAAAATAAAGGGCAGACAATCTCCCCTTTGCTATCCTGCCTGCTTGCTCCCTTACAGTGCATTCAGTAAACTTCTATCTCATAAAATAAAATAAAATAAAATAAAATAAAATAAAGAAAATATACAGTGCAGGAGTTGGCTGGAGGCTCCATGGTCCTTGACTTTTTTTTTTGACTGTGTCATTTGAAATTTCCCTTGGTTGGTGATAGTGGTCCTACCACATTCGGGGAACAAAATCCCTTGTGTGGCCCTCTTTGTGTAAAGCTTTCTCCAGTTTGGTACAGGAATTCTAGGAGAATTGGTTTGGTTTCATCTTAGAATTGCACATTTAGGAAATAACAGACTATATTCATCAGACTCTTTTTCTTTGAGGGTCATCACCCCAGTTAAGTCTCATGAACCAGACCTCATCAGTCCTCAACATTTTATTTGAACTTGGTCTTAGAATGAAAATTAAACGGGGAGTAAGTGGAGAGGAGAGGAAAAGAGCAGGAGGAATTCCAGCTATCTCCTCATTAGGGCATATGATTTTCAGGTCTTCTTGTGACTTTAGCATTCTAACCAGAGTTCTTGCGCATAAGCAATAAATAAGCAATTCTATATTTCTCTCTTTATTGATTATAGAACCTGAATGATATGCCTCATTTTATGTGTGTTGCAGGATGGACAAGGCATTATGCATTGGATTGATAACCTCTTGGGTTTTTAATTAAATAACCCCAATGGCTCATTTTACTTTTCATGAATGGTAAAAATACCTAGAACCATAAAACATGATGCTGTTGCCACTCCGTTCAGTAACAATAATGATGACATTGCTACGGAACCTTACAAATTAGTTCTATTATCAGCCCAATATAACTAACAAGATCCGTGTGTTATTAATATGGTTTCACCCTGTTAATGGTGGTATTTAAGTGGACAATTGGAATATTTAGAAACATATTTTTATGACTAAGGAAATGGGGATTTTTTTTTATTCTCTAAAAATAAACTTTGTGTATGTAACATTCACAATAGGATTATTCTCAAACAGGAGATGATCCAGAGGGATATCATCAAAGAAGCCTACTGTGATCTCAGGGTTCTGTATTCAAACCAAAATAACACATAAGTTTCAAAATAGTGAAAAAGCACAGACCTTCATAACAATAGATGTAAGATCTCAAATTATTTTTCAGTGATTAGATTATATAGATGCTACTAATTTTATCTGTTAAAGTTAGAGTAAATTTCACTAAGAGTTAATCCTACCTATAGACATTTCACTTGTTGATTCCGTAACAGTATTTGACATTGTGGTTGTTGTTAGTACAGATGCAGTTGCTGAAGGAACCGCTGTTGATGTTAATCCTTGAGGGGCTGTATTTCCAACATCTGCAAAAGGGAAACTGTTAAAGTAGCTGCTTTAAAGTTTACATTTATTTTGCCAAATACAGACTAGTACATTTAAGCAAAGCCAACTGTATGTGTGTTCCTGCTAAGCCAGTAAGTAAGGCATGGATTTGAAATTAATTTTCTAATTGTAATGAATTGAGCCTTCGGTTCGCTATTCATTCACGAACTCTATCTGCTTCTCAGCAACAGCATGAATTTTCAAGATAGCCATCAGGAACAGTCCATAGCTCTGAAACAAAATTATAGCTGACAAAACTAGTGAGAAATACAAGTACAAATTTGAAATTTAACAATATTTTTAAGCCAACCTAACAAACATTGTCAGATGAAATAATTAAATGGACGTTCTCTGGACTGTGGATGTTTTACTAAATATTTTCATAGCACATTGAAATTATTAAGCAGTAAAATTTCAGTATTAGTACATCTCTTCCTGATATAAAGCATTTCTCCCTCCTTTCTCTCTCTACATATATGCCAAAGGAAGACAATAAATCTTGTTTTTTAATTTTTTTAAGAAATTCAATAAATTTTAAAGAAATTCAACATTGCAACATGCCTAAATTTTTGGCAATGGAACCACCATAAATATGCATTTTCAAATAATTGAGTTCTCTAAATTGTAACAATCAAAGGCACCAAAATGAAGGTGATACATTGTTTTGTTGTTATATGTTTATTTTTGATAATACTTCTTTGACAATAGAAAGTATTTAATAATAACTCTTAAAACTCATCTTAAAATACTATTGTTTTTTCAAAGTGAAGTATATAGGACTTAATTCTCAATGATTTATGGAAATGCTTGTTTTACACAATATTACTGAATTTATTAGCTTTTATAGAATCCTTTTAATTCTGTGTTTGTTGGTCCTGTCTCTATATACTCACTGTTGTATTGAAGATCAGAAAATAACAAACAAACGTGTATGAAGGACTTGGACAATGTATTCATGCCCATGGAAGGCATTGTGTTCATGTTGTTACTTCGTCCGTAGAGAATATATATAGTATAGCACGTTAGTTAAGAGGATGGACTTTGAGCGACAAAGACTTGTGTCTTGATCCCAGTCAAACTGGATATGTCATTAGCGTAAATACATGTCATTAGTATAACTTTTCAAATTTAAAATTTTATCCAACATTTTCCTGTTTGAGTATGGAAAAAAATATTCTTGCACATCAGGGAAAAGCAATATTTCAGATGTGAGGAGACAGAGCACACTTCCTGTTTCATTTTATAGACTTGTGGAGCTTGGACGTGCTAGCACTTAGCACTGACTTTGATTATAGGCAGTATAGGGAAATGGGTTGATGTATTCAACACATATGGATGTGTTCAGCACATTCAGGAATGACAGAGTGGCTTTTCACAGGCTTTACAGAAATCAAGTCAAAAGCTTTTTTCACCTCTGGATACACTTCACACCCTTGTTCTCACCACTACCCCCCGAATCCCAACAGGGAGAAGGAACACAGCAAGCATGCATGATGTTATCGTTTCTGTATTAGTCATTTTTTTCTCGCTATCCTTCTTTTCATCCTAGAGTTTGTGATGTAACACTGACTTCTCAGTTTAAACTGAAGTTGAAGAAAGTTATTCCAAGAAGCACACACCACTTTGACTGGAAAAATCACCTATAAATAACTTAAATGATCCCTATCTGCTGACTTGTTATATAGTAACAACCTCAATTTCTGGGTCTAATCAATATCTTCAAAGACTTTTTTTCTTATTTCTTTCTTCCTTTTGTCCCTTCTGCCCTTCCTTTTTTCCTTTTTCTCTTCCACAAACACTTACTGGGCAACTAATGTGAAAGGCATGATTAGATAGTGAAAGACTCTATATTGAACTACATGGTGTCACCTGTGAGTATCTCTCATTCTGGTAAGGAAAACAATGCCTATACACAATAAATAACAAAGTTATTCTGTGTGGGGCAGGTGGATCACTGTTTTTCAAACTGCAGTTTATGGTACAGGTAAAGAGTAATTAATATCTAGTTAGTAGACTGCAGTCAGAACTTTGGCCAAATGAAAGAGAAAAGAAACATTAGAGGGATACTGCAAATAATGAGGGTAAATATTATTTCATGAAGTTCACACGCACATGTATGTGTTTATGTGTATTTGAGTAAAACATGCATCCATGCAAAATATGTTTCCTATTGTGATTCTGGCTAAAAAATTTTACTGGATAAAAAATTGGGCAAGAGTTTACAAGATAAAGGATGACCACCCTGCTGGCATGAACAAAGACTCCTTTCTGAAGAGTGGACTTAGGAGCTAGAGTTTGAAGAGTAGGTAGCATGTCCACATGGCTAGAGGAAGAGGCATGGTCAAAGGTCTGGAGGGGAAGTGAGAGGTAATTGAGAGAATTGAAAACAGTGGTGTTTGGCTGGATTGCTCTAAGCTATGAAAGTACATAGAAGGCCTTGTCTGGCACAATACTGGAGGCTAGATGTTAAAGGACCTTGAACACCAAACCAGGGACTTGGGACTTTATTAACAAGTCAGTGGAGAGCCCTGGAGAGTGACCAAATAGAAATTCTACTGTAGGAAAAACGATGGGGGAGCAGGTGCAGCGGAGAATGAGAGGACACCAGCTAAACTGAACAGCTAGTCCCCATTTTTATGTTTATCGATGTCTCTGACCTCTTGAAGTCTTCACATGAGATCAGTGAGTTCACATCTATAAAGTGATTTGTGGCCAACTACAAGTAGGCACATTTTTAATTAAAAAAATTTTTTTAGGGATGTCCGGGTGTCTCAGTTTTGTTAAGCATCTGCCTTAGTATCAGGTCATGATCCCAGGCTCCTGGGACTGAGCCCTGCATCGGGCTCCTGCTCAGCAGGAAGCCTGCTTCTCGCTCTCCCACTCCCCCTGCTTCTTTTCCTTCTCTTGCTGGGTCTCTCTCTGTCAAGTAAGTAAACAAAATCTAAAAAAAAATTTTTTTAATTTAAAAATTTAAAAATTAAAAAAAAATTTTAATGATTTTACGTACGTATTTGAGAGAGAGAGAAAATGTGAGCAAGGGGGAGGAGCAGAGGAAAAAAGAGAAACAGACTCCCCAGGGAGCAGGGAGCGCAATGCAGGGCTCAATCTTAGGACCCTGAGATCATGATGTGAGCCAAAGGCAGACGGTTAATCAACTGAGCCACCCAGGTGAAGCAGGCACCTTTTTAATGGCTGGTGAGGTAAGATTGAGATGTACTGCAAAGCTTGTCCTCTCCAGACTGCTACACATTTTGTCACTGATTTCTCTGAGTAAAATCTTAATCTAGTAGTGCTCATTAATGTCTCCATTAATAGTTCTTCAGATTGTCCATCAGAGAGAATGCCCTCCTTCGGCAAGGACTGACAAACCACCCCTGAAAACACTGAGTGTCAGTGTGTGCCAGGTCCATGTAAACATTTTCTGTGAATTAGCTCCTTTAATTCTAAGAAGAACCATGATGCCCATACTCATATCATTCATCATTGTACAGATGAAGACACTGGGGCTCAAAAAAGATAAAGCAACTTGCCCGCATTATGCAGTGGGAAGTAACACAGCTGGAATTTTAATCCAGGCCCCTTGGAATCCAGAGAAGATACTCTTAACCACCACAGATTTTGCTATGGGAAGTTGGTTCCATGCAAAGCCACATCCTGCTGCTCTGCCTGTTCTCTGCCTTTGATGGAGTATGATATTAAAGGGGTAGAAGTGACTAGATACACTGATGTTTTGCCCTCATGTACCTAGGATGAGGAAACGGACAAAATACCTCACTGTTTTTTTTCTTGAAACATACTATCATTTTGTCATATACATTACATATATACACATAAACATCCATAAAATGTATAGACTTAAATCTCTGAAGGCAATTTCCAATCTATTACAGCTATCTATGTTTGAAAAATAAAAATAAGAGATTTACTCAGTTGGGAAATTCTAGAAATAGAAACATTCTCTTACTCTACAGTGGGAAAGAATTATTCTAACTACTGCTGTTGAAGGTTTTATTGACTGTGATGCACGTAATCATCGGTTATGTTTTTATAGCATTTTCTATAAATTTCTTTTAGGTCTGATTTGATCTCTTAATAAACTATTGAGGAAAATGGCTTATTTTGAAATATTTTCTCATTACAAGACATAATGAGGTAGCATTCCACTTTCCTTTATCTCCGAAGTAATTAGAGATAAATTTAACAAGGAGACCTGTGTTTCACATCTTCGTTTATGCCCAGCCAGATAGTGCTGCTCTTAGGATGTTGTAAGAGAAACAGATGGCATTTTGTCCTGATTCCACCCTATACCCAGACACCAGCTGAGAGAGCACAAGAGAGACTATGACACTTAGTTAGTTTCCTATGCTTCGAAAGGATGAAGCAAGATTGAGATTAAAAAAAAAAAAAAACTATTTTAATTACAGAAATCACGAGAACTTTGAAAATTCAGCATATGGCTGAAAAACCAACTATCATATTTTTTCCTCTTTTCAAATGATTAGGTCATCTACTCCAATCTTCTTGAGATGCTTCGTAATTACATTTCTAAGTAACTCCCAAGTGGTCTCTAGAAGTTAGAGTTTCATCCATCCTCATAATGAGAAGCTAGCTCTCCAATTATCTTTTCCCCTACCAAGTCTACATTTAAAGTCCCCTAGAAAAACACTACTAGAGAGAATAGGTCTTGGTTTCTCTAGATCAACACGAATACTGAATGACAGTAACTTAGAATTATTAAACTTGAGACCCAAAAAGAACTGTAAAAAACATCCCACTGTAACAGAATCCCCAAATTTTATAGCTTAGAAAATGTATGAGTTTAAGTTAGTTTCAAAAGATCATAATACAAAGGACTAAAAAAGGTGCTTTAATTCCTAAATGAATACTCTGTATTATGTAATATAGAAAAATCTTTTTTTTTTCCCCCAATTCTGTTTGGGTATGTGGAATACACTTCTGACAGAAACAATGCTTAAGTTTC